GTCCTGCTGTCTTTGGGTCCTCAGGTTCAATTCGTAACACATGGGTTAAATTAGAGAAGGTGACTGGATATAAACAGCCGATCCAGAAGTCTATCCTTTTATGTAAGAGACTAAGAACCTTGTCGAGTAAGCAAATTAGAGAGATCATCATTCAACTGATCATAATTAATCAATTTTACCCTCAATTTGAATGACCAATTAATGAGCTATAACTTCCAGTTTTAGTTATTTGATATGTTCATAATCTTCTGGTAAACTTACACAACACCTTGGACCAGTATTTTGCACTTTTCGGCTGTAGGTTTTACCACCAAAAGAGTCAATTACTTCTCATATATATACTTTATCTAGAAACCTTTCCAACTAAACTTCACCCTTTGAATGAACAGATATGGTTTTTTTTTAAGTGATAATTTTCTCCTCTGGCATATCTAACATAATTAAGAGAAACATATGTGTACTTGTGAATACCAAAAATGATTCTTGACTGATGGTTTTTGTTATCATTATCTCTTGGAAGGCATATTTCCAGCATATTCCTATACTTATTATGCTGTGAATGTAGTACTGATTCAAGAAGCATTATGACCTGTATGGGCCCTCATCAAAAACACCTTTTTTTTTAAATGTGGAATGCCCTCAGTTTGTAGTAACAGTCTTTTTACCCTTCTCTGAACTCTATTCCAAATTTCAACTTTCCAATTTACATAATTTTTGTCTCTTTTAGGACAGAAGTTTTTAAAAAGCCTTTTCCTCACTTCTCTGACGGACTGCCTAAACCTCTCTGGCATACTCTCCTGTCAATAAACCCACAGCATAAGAGCTGCATCTCATTATCTAATACACTAGATATGAACATCTTAGTGTCTATACGTTTGTTTATTATTTGCACTGCCGAATGTTTATATTTGCACTACCGACTGTTAAAATCACAGTACCAATTGTTTACATATACATTTGCAATAATGTACTTTAACTGTAATATGCAACTACCTTCCACTGCACTTTAATTTAGATAGCTTCTGTACAAACTTTATTTATTCATTTTATAGTAAAACCCATCTGTATATATACTATTGTACATAACTGTAGAAACCGTAATATCCACCTGTATATTATATTCGGTACATATCCAGCTGTAAAGTTAGTTCATAACACTAGTGATCTATATATTATGTTCATCTATTGGTAAGATTCTGTTTATAATGGTATTCATCTCTATACTTATTCAGTAAAAACCCATGTCCTGTATTTATGGAACCATTATTTATCCTGCACCTGCTGCTATTGCACTTCTGGTTACATATAAACTGCATTTTGTTGCCTTGTACCTGTACCTGTGTAATGACTACAAATTTGAATCTAATCTAATCTAATCTAAAATTAATTGTCCTGTTGTTTATGGTGTATCCTAATCCATTGTAAAACATTCTATGTAGTGCATCGGAGTAATCCAACATTATCTGAAATACACTCCTCACTTAGTGACACCGATAGATTTGGACAATCGTCAGCTAATCATGACCTTGATGAGCTTGCTCCTAATCAGTTTTCATCTATTCATGGCATCTCTCCTGGTGCCAAACTCTGATTCTCTAGAAGTAATGGCATTTAATACCTCCTTGGCTCATAGATGCATTTTACCTCCTGGAAACTCCCTCCCGGCTGAACTGTGATGCAGCGGGTAGCGCTGTTGTCAATTTCTGAGCAGGGGTCTTTCTGCATGGAGTTGCATGTTCTCCCTGTGCATGTGTGGGTTCTCTCCTGGTACTCTGGCTTCCTCCCACAGTTAAAAAACATGACTGTTAGGTTAATTGGTGTGTGTACATGGTTGTGTGTCTTTGTGTGTTTCTGTGTTTCCCTGCGACAGACTGGCCTGTCCAGGCTGTACCCAGCCTCTCGCCTGTAGACTGCCGGAGATAGAGACCAGCTCCTGTGAGACCCTGACAACGATTAAGCAGGAGAAAATGGATGGATGGATGGAAACTCCCTCCTACAACTACTACGACTTCATTTCTATTTCTAGTAGTAAGCATTGTTTGGCCCACTAATACAGAGGCAAATTAGAATGTTCATATTTGCTCTTTATTTCTTTTATTTAGAATATAATATTCTATGGTGGGTTCTAAAGGCTACATAAGATGTAAGAAATCCAAGCTATTAATACATCTGCTCTGTTACCCATTAGACAACCCGGTGCTTAAACAACAGAGCCCAATGTATAGATAGAAGCCTAAAATATCTGGATGGGACAACTTTTCACAGATCACACGTTGAACCCTAAGTCCAACACCCTGTGACTGACAAGAGAGCATTCACGCCACTATTCAGGACAAACCCACAAAGATCCTGGAGAGCATCCTGAATATGGCTCCCAGAGATGAATGTGTCAGGCAGCAAAACCCAGAGTGCAAGAAGGATAAAGCATCTTGGACATACTAGCCTCTCAGTGCAGGAGCATACCAGCAATGACTTGAGGAGTGAAACCAATAGCTGGAACAGACTGGGTTGGAAAACTGCACAGAGACCAAACTTCAAGCCACAGAGGTAAGGTTCAATCTCATTAGATCCTAGTTACAAACTGTGCCAAGATGAACTTAAAATAAGATTATGTCAGAACATGTACACCAGGGATGTCAAACTGGTTCCAGAAAGGGCCGTGTGGCTGCAGGTTTTCTTTCCAACCAAGCAATAGCACATCAGACTCCAGCCATCTCAGTAAGTGAGTCCAATCTGAACATGAAGACTTGATGAGATGAATGGAGTCTGGTGTGCTATGTTTGGTTGGAAAGAAAACCTGCAGCCACACGGCCCTTTCTGGAATCAGTTTGACACCCCTGATGTAGACAAAGACCATCAAACAAAGAGCTAATAGATCATACTGCTTTTGTCGCAGAAACTATACTTTCACAAAGGACCAAAGGAGACGTTTAGTGAAACTTGGAACCCAGAATATAAAAAAGTGCATAGAAACATGTTTTGGGTCTCTGCTATTCTGAACTTAGAAGCAAATTGCTGCTGTGTGATCCCTTCTTGGTGTTATCAGTTTTTAGGCATCTTTGAGTCTGAAAATAAAACCTTAAGCTGAAGTCCAGTAACTGGGTCTGTCTCAATGCTGTTAGGAATCCAGTTTGTGTGGGTTGTGTTTTTGTTTGTTTTCCCTCCACCACCAGGTGGCGCCTGGTTCTGGTTTCGTCTTCTCACACACCTGCTGATGGTTGCCTCATTACCGTAGGACTCTTAAGCTGCTGACTGCCACTACCTCGACGCCAGAGTGTTTGCCATTTTTGGGTACTCTAGCCAAGCTGAGTTTTGCTGAGTCAAACTGAGTTTTTGTCAACCTGAGCCTAACCTTATTTTTTTTGTCTCTGCCTCTCGGCACAAAGTCAACCTGCAAACTGGATGTTTTAGACCTTCTCCCCCTGGAAGGATCGCATGAGCTTCAAACTGAGCTGGGGATTCAAACTGGAGGTTCGAATCTACTTTTCCCCAAGGGATTGTTTGACCTTTACACTGAGCAAGGGATTCATCTCCACGAGAAACAGTTTAAGTACCATTGGAAATCTAAGTGGCAGTCAGCTCCTCCCTTCCTCAAGGAAACACCTCAACCTGGGTAAACCCTGTCCGCCCTCCAACAAGCAACTCAATTACTGGAACAACCCAAAACGACTGGATTCAGAGAAAGACACCTTTTACTGGAAACGTGAGTCCCGTTGCCTTTATTCCCTTTTGCAAATCTAACTAACCACAGGAACTTCCCCTTCACTTTTCAGTCCCGGTTCGCCAGTGTTCAGAGCAGCACTGGACCCATCTCTACCAGTTCTCAATAAACCTGTTAAACCTTCCCATGGTCTCTCTGTTTGGTTTCCTGTATGTGGGTCAGATCTTAGAATAAAATCATGACAAATGCACATCAGTAGCACCTGTCCATAGTGTGTTAACTGCGAGAAATGAAGTGATGCACTACATAGCACCATCCAGCTGGTCACACAGACCGAATGTCATCCACACATTGGACCTTGGAGACACAGAAATGATGACTATTTTATAAGTCAGCTGCTAAAGGACTGTGACTCAACCAGGATACTGTCATGATTCAGAACAGAGGATTATTAAAAACAAGCGTTTATTTAAAAAACGGATGATAGGAGTACAGCGGCTAGGGTGTCTATCACAGGAAACTCTGTCAACAAGATATGCCAGCGTGTCCCAGATGCTGCAGCCCTAGAGAACATGCAGAAGTCTGAAGCCAAGTCAGGCAAACAGATCAAAACAGGAATCTGCAAGTTCAAAGGTTCAGGAGTAAAAAACAGTTCAGGTAAACCACTCAGACGGGAACAGGCAGGCTCAGAGGTCCAGGAGTCCAAAGATAGTCCGGGCAAACCGTTCAGATGGGAAAAGGCTCAGTGGCAGGACAGGATCGGGAAATCAGAAACTCTAAGGTACGCTAAAAACCCTTTCAACACTGGTACGAGAGAAGGAGATAATCTGGCCCTAACTGTATGCAAGCAACCTAAATAGAGGCAGGAGCAGGTGGATCAGATAAGCAGCAATTAGAAACCAGGCAGAGTTAGACATGTGAATCAAAGGAATAATTAAGCCAGTCATCAGTGGCAAGATCATGACAGAGAGGGGTCATGATCAGAGAGGAGTCGGCAATACATTGACCTCTACATTGACCTCCGAAACCCATTCTTTCTCATTTCTTTCAGATAAACACAGCAATAGCTAGATGGAATCTTAATCAAAGCCTGAAGTGTTGTCTGAAAAGACAATGATCCATAAGGCCTGAATGAAAGGCTTCTTGTTGAGTACTCATCATACATCCCAAGCAGACAGGTTGTCTATGTGTTTAAAGCTAAAAAAAAAAGCTCAAAATCAGCTCATTTGCTCAGTAAATAAAAATGTTTTAATTATTCTTCTGAATATATATGTATCTTTCAAGCACACCATCACAACAAAACTGAAATTTGAAAATGAAACTTTCCCAAGAAAAATACCTTTTTATTTTATTATAAATCCACATATTTGTGTCTATGAAAGCATAAAATTCCCATTTTACATGTTACTGTGTTTTTTTTGTTGTTTTTGTTTGTTTTGTTATATTCAAATTAAATTATGGTTATCAAATCATCGAAGACTGTTAGGTGTATGTCACATACAAACACAGACACTGTCAAACAGCAAAAGGAGAGAGGAAGGGAAGGAGGAGACAACGCGGGTTCTCCCACCATCTTTTAAAACCCCTTCATACATCGACCCCCCAATACTGCCATCAACTGAAACATCATTGTTCAAGTTCAACATTTCCGGTTTGTGCAGTTTTACGTGTGCTTTATGCTTATTTTTTGAGCTCCTCAAGGCTTCATCTTCGGGAAACAAAAACTTGATATTTTCTTTTACTCCAACATTGAGAGAACCAACCCACCATGGATACAAACATATCAATTATTTCAACATTATCTTCCACATCCATAACAAAAAAACTTGATTTTTTGTTCCTTAAACAGGGAGAGTGTGAAGAGAGGGCAGAGATGAAATGAAAACTTGTTTAAAGTGCCATAGAAGTTCAACTTTACATCGACTGAGTATTATTATCAATGCATTGAGACGATGTTGACAGTGTGCTTGTTTCTTAGTCCAAGGCCTGACACAGGGTAAATAAAATAAAAGGTGTGCTTTCATAAGTCAGAGATTTCTACAAATAATGTCATAATGCATTGTTGTAACCCTTTGGCATATGACTGTTTAATGAGGAGAGGATATGAGAGGTGCCATCAACATCTGAGAACATCTTGAAAAGTTTTACTGATGGTCACAGAGGCCTTCCAGGTGCTAATCATGTTTGGATTCCAACGGTCACACCCAGAGTCTGAATCCAACACACGTTGTGCAGAGCTCTCCTTGGTCAGCACTGACCATCAGAAAGTCCTCTGATCCAAAGGACAGAACATAGCCAGGGGCGGACATCCGTCTAAACGTCCACAAGTTGGATAGGCTCGTTTTATCTGCTCAAAGGTTCTTCACGTTTCCCTGAAGGTGATGATAGAATCCAGAGAGCACCTGAAAGAGACAAGAAAAGAAGAGAGGTGTGTAGAGGTCCCATTGATTAGTGTCACTCTTCCAGAGAAGTTCCCTCACGTTCTGCTTTCTCCACGTCACATTATAATTACAAACTTCAGTGTCGGGTTTTTGGAATTTATCTGATAGACCAAAGCAAAGCAGTTCATTAAAAGAAAAAAAAAAGCCTATTTATTTTAGCTCTAACATAAAATACATACAAATCTGAATAGTGTGGTGTGCATTTTTAATCAGGCCCCCTTAGTCAGAGCTCTGTAGAAACCTTTTAACATCTCAAATTTTGTCAGACTGGATGCAGAAGATTTGAGAATATGAGTTGTTTTTTATATTTTGGTCCTTGGATTTTGGTTTATTTTTGAATCGATTTAGCTCCCTCAATCTTCCATCCACTCAGAAACACTTCCCCACTGTATGATGCCGCTATTTTGTCAGATGAGCATTCCTTGTCAGACCAGTCAATATGCATGTGCAAGACGTCCTTTAGTTTTCTACGAAAAATAGACTTTAAACTACCTCAATGGGAGTGTATCCCTTTAGTCATGTACAAAAAAAACAAAAAAACAATTTAAGGTGAGATTGCCATACGCTTCAAAAAAATCACCAAAAACGAAGTAATTCAATTTTATTTTTGTACATGACTAAAGGGATACACGCCTGTTGAGGTAGTTTAAAGTTTATGTTTCACACAAAACGAAATTGATAAACTAACAGTATAAACAGGTATTGACTATGGGTATGCTGGTCTGACCGGCTATGCTCATCTGACAGAACATCCCCATCATTGTACATTCTTCCTCATGTTTGCAGTGTCTCCTTCATGGTAATTTGTAACCAGCAAACAGAACTTCCTTTGTTTTTGCCTAGTTTCCTAGTAGTAGCTGTCCTGCAGAAGGATTCTCCATCTTAACTGTGGATCTCTGTAGTTCCTCTAGAGGCACCGTGGTCCTCTTGGCTTCTCTGATCAATGCTCTCCTTGTCCAGCCCATCAGTATACGTGGGCAGCCATGTCTTGGTAGGTCTGCAGGGGTCCATACTGTCTCGATGCTCAGGTGATGGATTGAATAGAGCTGGGGGGGGCTGTTTTAATACCAAACCTGCTTAAATCTTTTCCAGGATGTTCTTTCTGACCTGTGTGCTGGATTCTTGGTCTGAATATTTCTGTTTGTTGTCCAATGCTTTCTGAATAACCTCTGAGACCAGAAACAGAGCAGAACCCCAGCAGTTAGAGTCTAAGGTAGGGTTCTTATCATTAACTAGGTGTAAACAGTTTCTCTAGATCTTTTTTAGAGTATTTGTTTACAGTCACACTCTAAAACTTCTTCTAAATGATGAAATATAATAATGTAAAACCATCTTAACTGAAAGCAATCCTTTAAATGATGTCTAATTGTGTTTTTTGTTTGACTGCAAAATCTAAAATGTTAAAATCATATCAATTTGGACATTTTATGTCTGGAGTCGGCCTTGAGGAGAAATCTGTTTTAATTTTCATGAAATTTGATTTTGGTCTTTATTTGGGATGTCCTTAAAATATCCGGGTTTATGGACCCAAGGTCAACAGTCCTCCGTTACTGAATAAAATCACAGAAAGGAAGACGACATCTTTTTGTGCTGATAGATCAGTGTTTGTTTTGTCTTTAAGTCCTAAAACATATTTTATGCTGATATATTGCCCTGGAAACCAGCTGCTTCTCTTTCTAGAAACATAGGCTTCATTGAACAAATAACACCTCAACCCTTTTTATTTTCTGTTGCATAGCACTGCTCTGTGCTTTGTGAAGCCTCAAAGGTTTGCAGTAATCCTCTCTGGATGCCAGCAGGGGGCACTCTTCACTACCGTCAGAACAAAGAGCAGTGAGATTTCTGGACTGATTGATGAAATTAATTCACTGCCGGATAAAAAGCAATCAAACAGAGTCATCAGAGGTCAAAAGCCCAAAGATTTTTCAACACTCTTTTTTAGTAAAAAAGGGGATTAGAACTTCTTGATAAGAAAGCACACACATCTGTCTGGAAGTGTTTCAAGAATAAAGGAGCCAATTAGACCTCTTATATATCATAATCCAGTTTTATTTTGCCTTTCTATGAGGATGTTTAATCCCAGATAAGATTTCCTCTTTTCTATGATAAAATCAATTTTCCCCATTCTAAATAAAATTATGCCTCAGCCTCTCTGTGGTTCATCTGTGTTAACACACTAAAATCAGCTCCTGCTGGTGAAGAGGAACACATCCACAGAAAGAAACTGGAGGCTTGATGGATAGGATAGGTCTGTTGTCTTCCTAGAGCCTGAGTGATTTGTTTATCCCCCTTAAATAATTGATCAGGTTCCATCAGCTAAACTGAATCCCATTAACAGTTAGAAATGTTAAACCCCCAGTGAATTAATCTGAAAAAACTACCTTAGGACAGAATCGAAATACCTTTACCATTCCACAGAATAGCAATTCAGGTGCGACACTGGAAAATCAGGTAGACAGAAAAAAGCTTACAGGTACACACAGGGCTGGATGATTTATGAACTAAAACTGCAAAAGTGAAATGGCACAATAGGAGAGACAAAAAACACCTTCAAATGGAAAATACCATATTATTCATCCAGCAAAACATAAGAAGTCTTTAAGTTCAAAAACAATTTAAAAAGCAGCCTGATTACAGAAAGGTGGAATATCTGTGTAAACAGGTGTATATTATAGTCACCTTTAGTTCCTAATCTGACAGTGGTGATGTAGAAATCACTCATCTCCGTTTCTCTCGGGTTAAACGACATTTATTTCCTGCTGGTAAT